AAGAAAAAAAAAGAAAATTAATCCCATGGGTGAAAAGATATCTTCAGATTTCCTAGGTATCTTGAGAAATGAGTTTGTATTCCTCTAACAGATTTAGGGGGAGTGGGACCTACGCCATATTTTCATGTGAGTTGTTATTGTTGTTTTGTTTATTTGTGCTTGTATTTGTGACTGAATTATAGTTCCTAGCCATTTGCGGTTATGAAGAACATTTGAAGAATTGAATGAAAGTTCTAGACTTCACCCCAGAAAAATGTGTGTGCACACATACATACAATTGTGCATATAATTTCGGGAGGGTGGTGTCCTTCCCACAAGAAGCCCACCTACAGATATCACCCATCCAGGAGTCCATAGACACAGTTTAAAATCTCTGAAAGCTGGGTATGTCTCCCAGCTCTCCCACTGTTCAGCTATGTGATCTTAAGACACTCTACATCTCTGAGCTCCATTCTAGTCAGCCATGACTAGTGGAGGGAAGAAATTGCTACCCTGGCTCATGCTAATTTTAGAGAACAGCGATTGACAAGACCCTCTTTAACGATTTAAATAAGCCCGCAACCACAGAAGCTTTGCCATCCGAAAATTACATGAAGAAATGGAGAGGGAGCTGAGGATTGTTAGCCAGAGAAAGAAAAACCCAGTGGGTTGAAAGGGTTTTCATGTGAATCAAGATGTAGTCTTATTCCGTAAGAGGCTCCAGAGGGGAGACCAGGAGGAAGCAGAGTGCCTTGGTGTTAGAGTGATTTAGAGTTGAAAAGACGTGGGTTAAATCCAGATCGGCCATTTACTGGACAGGTTTTTAATCTTCAAGGTCTTTAAAATGGAAGTGATAATGGCACCCATTTCTTATGGATTTGCGGACAATCAAAAGAGATAATACATTGAATGTGCATGGTGTTAAAACAATGGCAGACCTACAATGGTAGGTACTAGCTTCTCTAATAAACTCTCTGACCCTCTATTTATCTATAAAATGAGGATAATATCTGTACCTGCCTAGGAGGTTGTTGAGAGATTCAAAAAAGAATATTAACGCAAAAATGCTGAGCACAGTACCTAATGCATAAATAAGTCCTTGATGGACATTAACCACAATGATCCCTATGAATGTTTCACTACAAAAAAGAAAAAGAAAAAACAGTGGGAAGAGAGGAAATAGGGAGTGAAGGAATTTTATTTCCATCTGTTTGTATGTACCCCTAACAAAAATGCATTAGCGTAATGTTTGTGTAATTTAAAATAAATGAATAGTAGTTAAAAGAATATGACTTTTAATTTCAGATTAGAAATCCAGATAAAATAAAATGATATCTAAAGAGTGTAGAATCAGAGCTAGACATCCTAGATTTGACGCCTGAGAGCTGTGTGGACTTGGGAGATTTAGATAAAACAGAACTATGAGCATCTGCTGAAGAGGGATTAAATGAAGTGGTCCAGGAAGACAGCTTGACACTGAACTAGCACGTAACACCTGCTCAGTGAACCCTGCTTTTCATCCCTAATGACTAAATGTTCCACAGAGACTGACCAGCCTTCTTACACCAAGCTCCTCTTCAGCCAAGCAGCAAGTGTTCTCTGTTCTGGGATTTGGTAAAGGAGGAGAGAAATGAAAATTATCAAGAAGCTTATAGAAGGTAAAAATCACAGGACCTTTTGTTCCCCTGTAATTCAATGTAAAATAGTCCAAGATTTCAATGGAACAAAGGATGATGGTGTTAGAACGTTCTGCCTAGTTTCCATCACTTTTCTAGTCACTGCCTTCTCTGTCATCTGTTAGAAAGTAGTCCCCCACCCTTACCCCATCCCATAGACAAACGGGGTTTGGATCTTTGGCACCCCATTTCCCTTAAATTATCGACTCCTAGTCCAGATTTTCTGTTTTCCCACTGTATGAGTTAGTGCAGGCCTAAGCGTCTTACCACCAGGTCCCCTTTGCATTTCATCTTGAGTTACAGTCTTAACTTCCAAACCTGTCCGCTTCCATTCACTCTTGTCTGGCCCCTCCAATTCCATCTTCTGAACTTTTGAGAGTGATGTTACATTGTCTCCTTCACAGAATTAAAGGATACCTGTTTCCTGGCCAGTAAACATACAGAGAGGAACTCAAACTCTCTGTTAATCATGATAAGGAAAGGACAAGATGGGCTGGACATGGTGGCTCATGCCTGTAACCCCAGCACTTTGGGAGGCCGAGACGTTTGGATCAGCTGACCTCAGGAGTTCAAGACCACTCAGGGCAGAGTGGTGAAACCCCATTTCTACTAAAATTAGCCAGACATGGTGGCATGTGCCTGTAGTCCCAGCTACTCGGGAGACTGAGGCATGAGAATCGCTTGAGTGTGGGAGGCAGAAGGAAGGAGGGAGGAAGGAAGGAAGGAAGGAAGGAAGGAAGGAAGGAAGGAAGGAAGGAAGGAAATAAGGAAGGAAGGAAGGGAGAGAGGGAGGGAGGGAGGGAGGGAGGGAGGAACAAGATGACATTTTCTTTTCAGAAGATTGAAAAAGTTAAATGGTCATATCAAGTGTCGGGAGGATATGGGAAAGCAGATACTCTGTGGGTGGAAAAATAAATTGGCACAGCCTTTTCTGAGAATATTTTTCTACAAGCTATTAAATTTAAAGGTGCACATTTCTTTTAACCAGTAATTTTTACTTTTTGGTCGCCATCCTAGCTAGAGAAACACTTGCATGAATGGTTAGGCAGGCATGAATGTACTGGGATGTTCACTACAGCACTGTTTATAAAAAGGAAGCATTGGAACAACCTAAATGTCCCTCAATAGTCAAGAGATATCGTGAGTACTCACAATATAAAATATTACACAGCAGTTTAACATAATGATACCTATCTACATAGACTAAAGAAGAACGTGGTCCAATATATAACAATCAGTGGTAAAACAAAATGTAGTATGATAACATTTTTTAAAGGCTTGCACAAAACCAAGCTATATATTTCTATATCTATCCAGACACATAGGGAATGGAAAAAAGACCTAGAATGATCATCTTCAACTAATAACAGTTATTGTCTCATGTGAGAGGGCTGGGATCGAGGACAAGGAGTGAAAGAGAATTGTATTTCTGTTTTTATGCAACCCTAACAAAAATGCATTAATGTAATATTTGTGTAATTTAAAATAAAAAAATAAAAATTTGAAAAAAGAATAGGTGGCTTTCCTACTATCATTCCTGGTGTCAAGTCAGAAGTTGCTAAGGAAGAAGGAAGATCTCAACAGAGGGGCTTCAGAGATGAGCAGAGGAGAGGAGAAGCCAGCACTGATGCTTGCAGCGTGCTTCACTTTCACCCCAGCTGGCAGGAGGATGTGGGACGTGGCCACGAAGGAGCCAGAATAGTTGAATCCCAAGGCAAGCAGGCAGATGACAGATTGTTTCCACAGCCAAAGACGAGCCACTCATAAGAACACAGCCCCGGGCCAGGCAAGGTGGCTCACTCCTGTAATCCCAGCACTTTGGGAGGCCAAGGTGGAAGGATCACTTGAGGCCAAGGGGTTTGAAACCAGCCTGGGCAACATGGTGAGACTTTGTCTCTAAAAAAAAAAAAAAAAAAAAAATTAATAAAGTAAAATAAAATAAAATAAAAAATCACAGACCCCTTACCTCCAGGCTGAGGAGAAGTCACTGAGTCACTTGTTGTCCACATTGACACATGGGATGTTGATGGGAGATCCCAAACTTTGGACTCTTTGGGAAAAAGGGGGAAACAGAAAATAGACTTAGATCAATGCCTGTCTTCCTGCTTTTGGTACCTGACTGTTCCTATACTGACTTCTTTCTTAAAAAAAAAAAAAAAAATAGTATCCAGACACTGTCCTAAGTGACATACATGCATCTGTCATTTAATTCTTAGAAAGAGCCACAGGATAGGTGTTATTTCCATTTTACTAGTGAGGAAACTAAGGCCCAGAGAGATTAGGTGCTTAGCTAAGATCATACAGCAGGAAAGGCAAGATTTGTACTTAGGCAGAGTGAAGCCAGAGTGCCCACATAAATCACTCTGCCGTACTGTGTCCCTATGTTACACTATCACAAACACTGATTTATTTCTCTTATACATGTCTGTTTTCCTCTGCCAGATTATTAGCTTCATTATGGCAGCCGCTGCCATGTTAATGCTTACAAATGTGCCAGGCATTCTTCTAAGTCCTTACATGCGTGAAGTTATACAACTCTACAACAAACCTAGGAATAAACTGAGGTCAGGGACCCCCAGCAAAAAGTAGTAGAACTGGGAGTCAAACCCAAGTGATCTTCTCTAGCACCCCCAAGGATGCCAATCGTGTCTTATTTTAGGGTATACTCTGTCCTGGACCCCAGTGACTACCTAAAGAAGGTTTGATGGGTAGGAGAAAGGACAAATAAATGAAAGAATGACAATTCTCCCCCCACTCTAAAAAAAGCCAATCAGGCCAGGCAAGGTGGCTCACGCCTGTAATCCCAGCACTTTGGGAGGCCGAGGCGGGTGGATCACGAGGTCAAGAGATCGAGACCATCCTGGTCAACATGGTGAAACCCCGTCTCTACTAAAA